GAGAGAGAGAGAGAAAGAAAGAAAGAAAGAAAGAAAGAAAGAAAGAAAGAAAGAAAGAAAGAAAGAAAGAAAGAAAGATAGATTACCCAGCTAGACTTTCATTCGAATTTTTGTTTTGTTTGGGGGCCACACACAGCAGTGCTTAGGGGTTACTTCTGACTCTGCACTCTACACTCAGGGATCACTCTTGGTGGACTTGGGGACCATATGGAGTATGGGGGATCAAACCTGGGTTGGCTGCAAGCAAGGCAAGTGCCCTGCCTACTGTACTATCTCTCTGGTCCCTACCTCCATTCAGATCTGAAGAAATAATACAACACAAATAAGCAAGCTCAGGAACTTCATAGCCTTGAAACAATGTATCAAAAGCAGCAAAGACAAGACAAAGTTTTAAGACAAGACAAAGTTCACAAACATGCATAGCTCCTGGAGAATGTAGGAAGTTAGGAAGTTGCACATACACAAAATAATCTCTGTCATATTCTGGTTATGGAAAAAACAAAATATAATAGAGGACAACAAATGCCCAAAGACAACAGCAACGGAGTACTAGTCATCAGTAGGAAATTTAGGGGTGAGGTGGGGGTGTGGGCACAGCACTCTGTGACATTGGTGGAAGAAAGCAGAAACTCTGGTGAAGGATGTGGTGTGAGATGTTTTATGTATAGTAATTAACTGCAATTAACAGTATTGTAAACCACTGGGTGCCTAAAATAAAATTTTAGAAAAAGAAACATGTCAATTCTCAAAGGAGATAGAATATCAGAGGCTACAATGAAATACCTATAAAACTGCTGTAGGATTTGTTATGGGAAATTAACAAGTTGATTCTAAAATTTGTATCAAATTTCTAAGGGCCAAGAACAGCCAGAGTATTTTTTAAATTAGAAGAACAAGGAGGAAAATTTATTGGGCAACAAATTTTATTGCAAAGCTAATATAATAAGGCCACTGAGGTGCATTGGCACAAAGTCAGAAACAGTGCTCTGCAATTAATCTCGATTTGTGAAAGATAAACTGCAGAGTAATAGAAATGGCAGGCTTGTCAATGAATGAAACTGTGTCAAGTAGATTCACATATTAAAATATAAAATTCATTGATCTCCCATTTGACCCAGCAATACCACTCCTAGAAATATATCCCAGAGAAGCAAAAAAAGTATAGTCGAAGTGACATCTGCACTTGTTTGTTCACTGCAGCACTCTTTACAATAGCCAGAATCTGGAAAAATCCTGAGTGCCCGAGAACAGATGACTGGTTAAAGAAACTTCGGTACATTTACTTTGGTACATCTTATTATGACATCTTATTATCTCATTCCTACTTTGGACAAACTGGCAGGCTACCGAATGTAGCCTGCCCACACTGCAGAGTCTGGCAAACTCCCCGTGGCGTACCCAATATGCCAAATACCAGTAACAATGATGGATCTCATTCTCCTAAAGAGCCTTGAATATAATCTCAGGGCTAGGATGAAGGAGACGTTACTGGGGCCTGCTCGAGGCAATCGACGAATAACAGGATGATTTGTGATTTGTGATTTGTGTGGTACATTTACACAATGGAGTACTATGTAGCTGTTAGAAAAGATGAAGTCATGAAATTCACATACAAGTGGTACCACATGGAAAGTATCATGTTAAGCGAAATGAGTCAGAAAGTACGGGATAGACACAGAAAGATTGCATTCATCTGGGGAACATAAAGCAACAAAATGGGAGACTAACACCCAGGAGTGGCCGAGATTAGTACCAGGAATTTTGCTCCATGACTTGGAGGCCAGCCACACGTGCTAGGGGAAAAGGAAGCTCAGATAGAGAAGAGAGCACCAAATAAAGGGTCTTGGGAGGGTCCTCCCAGGGTGGGAGAAGCATGCTGAAAGTAGACTATAGACCAAACATGATTGCCTCTCAATGCCTCTCTTGCAAACCACAGGACCCAAAAGGAGAGAGAGAGAGAACAAAAGGGAGTGCCCAGCCACAGAGGCAGGGTGGGATGGGGAGGATGGGGGGTGGGAGGGATGCTGGGACCCGTGGTGGTGGAGGATGGGTGCTTGTGGGGGGATGGGTACTTGGTGGTCATTGTATAACTGAAACCCAAGCGCAAAAATTTGTAAGTATATAACTGTTCCTCGTGGTGTTTCACTAATAAAAAAATTAATATATATATATATATATATACAAAATTCAATTCCTAACTTATGGCGAAAACAAAACTCAGTTCCATGTAGGACATGGAACTAAAGGTCAAAACTAAAACAATAACAACTACAAAAGATCACACAAGAGAATATTTTTATGATTTGGTTGTTAGGGTAAGATCTTTTTGTTCACATGAGGCCACACCCAGCTGTACTCAGGGCTTACTCCTGGCTCTGTGCTCAGGGATCACTCCTGTCAGATTGAAGGGTTCATATGGGGTGCTGAGGATCAAACCCAGGTCTATAGTGTGCAAGGTGCAAACCTTACACCACAGTGCTATCTCTCTGGCCTGAAATTTTAACAATATACAGAAAAATATCACAACCCATACAGAAAATGATTAACAAATTGTAAAGTAAAAAAGTAAAGGCTCTCCTGTTGTTCATCGATTTGCTCAAGCGGGCCCAGTAACGTCTCCACTGGAGACTTTGTTGTTACTGTGTTTGGCATATCGAATACGTCACGGGTAGCTTGCCAGGCTCTGCCGTTTGGGCAAGATACTCTCGGTAGCTTGCCGGGCTCTTCAAGAGGGGCGGAGGAATCAAACTTGGGTCGGCCATGTTGGCTGCGTGCAAGGCAAATGCCCTACCGCTGTGCTATTAGAGGTGATCAGAGAGATAGTTGAGTGGGTAAGGTGCTTGCTTTGAATGCATGCAACCAACAAATGTTCCATCCCTGGCACCACATATGGTTCCTAGCTCTCCATCCCCTGGCACCGCATATGGTCCTATAAGTACTGCTAAGAATAAACCATGATGCTCAGGGGATCATAAAACGTCCTGAGGATTGAAATGAGGTTGTGCTGAAACATCCTTATTCAAGGCCACTTCATTTTCTCATGCACTGCTTCTTTAGTCCTCCATATTATTTTTTAGTTTTCTGAATTTCAGATTTACTTGAAGAATTTTCTTATATTTGTTGTTTTTTTAAAAAAAAATATTTGGGAATCACACCTGGTAGTTCTCAGGGCTCACTCCTGGCTCTAGGTTTAGAGTTAACTTGTACTGGGCCTCAGGGGACCATATGTGGTATTGGGGATGTGTGCAAGTAGGCTGTGTACAAGGCAAGAGCCATACCCACTACACTATCTCTCTGAGCCCACTGATTTGTTTTTTAAAAGCTAGTATTAAAATTTGATTTACTATTTCCTCAATGACTCCTTTTAGTATACAGAAGAGCCTTTATATAAAACTTGTGATATGCCTCATCAAAAGGAATAGAACAGGTGAGACACACTGGTTTACAACACTGAGGTAAACTTTTTAAGAAGTGTCCTGGGTAACATCAGAACTCTACTTGAGTACAAAATGTATCATGCTTCTTTTAAGTAGAGACAGAAATGAATGACTTATATTTTATATGGAGATATATGTAAAATATCAGAAGTAATTAATTTAGTTTCATGTGAAAAAAAATTTACAGGGTTACATGTGGTTCCTGATTGTCTATTTTTAAATACAATTTAGAAAATAAATATAAATATTAACAAAGTTTATGTTTTAATACATAAGTCAACAATTTCATTAATGTCTATTTTTCCAGATCAGCAAAGGATGTTTGCTAATCTTGGAAAGGAAATACTAAAGAATTATGTGAAACTAAGAATTAAGATGATTGCTTACAAAAATCAAAGTAATGATTCCAAAGTAATAAATTAAATGCTTCCTTTCTTTAGCTCAAACCAACTAAGTAGAGAAGATATGGCATAAACTACTGAATTCTGAATCACTTTTATTACAAAATGCATTAAAAAATCACATTGGATAAATACTGTGGTCACTGAATCCAGGGGTACTCAGTAGACAACAGCAGTCCTCTTATAGGGAAATTGGAAGGGGAGTGTCCACCACTCTTACAAACTATTCACTCTTCTTCCCAATATAGCCTATTGACTACTAGAAAAGGGTGATTTAGTGAGAGGAAAAGAGAAACCAAACCAACCAACAACTCCCAAAAGTGAGATCAATATGGAGTTGCCTTGAGATGAGATTAGGTTAATCCTACACTGGAGAAAATACAGTTGATCCCTTGAGAGGTTTCTCCGAAGGATGTCTGTTAGTCCTTAAGTGCAGTAGAGACCACTCCATGCTTCACTCCAGTTTACCTGAACTTAAAGAACAAGGATCCAGGACTTGCATTTGGCTTGGTAAAAAGAATCCACACCCACATTCCCATAAGCTACATACATGGAGATGAACCAGAAGGTTCTCTCCTTTTGCCCTAGGTCATGGAGAAAGTCTGAATGAAATTCAGAAACCATTTCAACTTAGCTTTTTAGTTAATGAGGAAAGCAGGTCACACATTTCACACTCATCGTGCCTATTATAACCCAACCCATAAGACTTTCTGAGAAGCTTTGTGATATCAACTGTTGCTCTAAGGAAACAAGTTGTGGTTGTTTTACAAACACAAGAGTCCCTAATCTATGAGACTTCTAACTTTGCTGTCGGGAATATTTTGGTTTTGGACCACATCCAGCAATGCTCAGGGGACCTTGGCAATGTTATTTGATAGTAAGAATCAAATTGGGTTTGGCTGCACATAAGACAAATGCCCTACCCCTATGATATCTCTCTGGCCCATGTTTTGAAACTTTTTGGAAACAAAAGTAGTTTTATCTACATATAGATACACAGCAACCCCTCAGAGTCCTGCCAAAGCATTACTGAGTCTATGTTTGGTTTATTTAGAAGCCTACTCTCTAAACATGAATCTAAAACACTTTGTACTTATGTTTTATTGATCTCCTATCACCAGTCTCTTGCATCGTCAATTCCAAGGGAGGGCAAGATACTCACGCGACTTTGGCACAGACAGGGCACTTCCACTTGCCATCACGGCAGGGGACCCGGCACGTGCTGCACACTCTTAGTAAGCAGATATGGCATAGTTCGCCCCGGTCAAATATGAACCCCAATCTTCTCTCACAGTGTACACAGACTCGGCTGTTCTCCTGATGAATCTTCCCACTTCTCCGTTTTGCTTCTAGGAGGTCAGTTTTCAGCTTCCTGGAAGAAGGAGGGAAAGACCGACTTAAAAAATTAAACAACAGGGGGTATAGTGCCTCCAGCAGGTTAATCTGTACCTGTGAGGCAAGTGCATCAGCAGCTTGATGGTGTCTTCAGACTTCCAGATACCCCAAAATTGCTGCTGTGCCTTTCACCAAACCCCAAAAACTTAGGGCAAGTTTACCAAGAATGTAAACAGACAAAAGATAGGTATGTGGGAGACACACTCACAAACCACCTCCGACTCAGCTATAGAATTGGAGGCAAGGTTTCTCTTAACAGCTTAACAGCCATGATCCCAGAGACTCAGAAACAAATCTTGAAACCCAACGGCTTTTGGCAGAGAAGTGTCTGGTTCCCACAATTGGTTACCAGCGCCAAGTCATCCCAGGGGAGAAAGGGTGCTGTCCCTCTGCCTGATCCCCCTTGGCAGCTCCGTGGCCTCCATCCTCCAGAAGCCATTGGACAGGCAGGTTTGTGCCCTCAGTGAAAAGACATGCTGGGCCTCACGGAATGGGGGTGGAGCCGGCCCTTTCCTTCCTGCCCCAAGGAGACCCTGCGTCACCGCCCACGAATGGCTTCTCTGGCTCCAGATCAAGCTGCTTAATGACCATGATCCAAGAGACTCAGGAACAAATCTTGGAACCCAGCAGGTTTTGGTAGAAATCCCTCCAGATTTAATTGCTAAAATTTTAGAATTTCAAAATCGCGTGGCTACTACTGCAGTCATGCGACAACATATGTTATTTATAACCAGCAATAGAAAACAAATTGTTTACTGTTTCCTTTTCGGCAGATCTGAGTGTTGGGGTAAAATCCCAAATAATAATGGTGGTTCTGGAGTCGAAATATTTAATGTAATCAGAGTAGAGAGAGAATAATGTGGAAATCATCTGTCCCACAGGTAGGGGGAGGGGGAGGGATGGAGTATACTGGGGTTTTTGATGGTGGAGAATGGGCACTGGTGAAGCTGCGGGTGTTTCATTGTATGACCGAGACTTAAACCCGTAATCTTTGTGACTGCTCTCACGGTGATTCAATAAATAAAATTATAAAAAAATTGGGGAAAAAAGTAAGGTGGAGTTCATACACAATTCAATCAGCCTAATCAGTGGTTGAATAAATAGCAGTACTCCTACATTTAAAAAAAAAGTTAAACAACAAAGTAGCCGAGACATCTTTATTTAAAACAGTCATATAGTGACTGGTCTCAAACTTGGACCTTAGTATGCCAGACATGTGCTCCAGCCCTTTGAGCAATCATCACTTTTGCCTCTCTACATCAGTATTTATCTGTAAATATTTACAATAGTATCACTACATGATCCAACTGTGATATGATATTATCAAGGAACAATAACTTATTCCACAGACTGGAAATTTCTGCTTATCAACCATTGAAAACCATTGATTTTTTGGGGGGGAAGGGGGGCCCACACTGGGTGTTGCTCGGGGCTTACTTCCAATTCTGCACTCAGAAAAAACTCCTGCTGGTGTCGGGGACCATATGGGATGCCAAGGATGGAACCTAGGTCTGTCGCATGCGAGGCAACTGCCCTACCCCTGTACTACCTCTCCAGCCCCATGAAAACCATGGATTTAACTAACTCATCCTACCTGAAAACCGTACTGCCTATATCTTCATCTGATTTTCATGGATCCTTTGGATTTTACCTTTACTAATACCTCCTCCAGAGAGATTTTGTTGATCATGCATATTTCCACAACATTTACTTTCATGTTTTTACAGGGGTCACACCCAGAATTGCTGGGGGGAGGGGTCATGCAGTGCTAGGGATTGAATTAAGGGTTGCAAAATGTGCTCTATTACATCAGCTATCTTTCTAGACTGTTGGATATTAACCCTAAGTATTTCAGGATTCATCAATGAATTGCCCCTTTTTCTCCCCCCAGAGAAGCTTACAGTGATCTTATGAGCGCCCCAAATCCCCTGAGTTTATCTTTAACCTTTCCTTTATGCTTTGTCTCTCATTGTTACATCCCCCAATTCAGTCTTGGTTACTTATAAGTGAAAATTTCTGGTGACTCTGGACTTTGTATTTGTAGTGAATTACTTGCTTTTCTATTTCCCTATAACCTTTTGATATTTTACTATAGAGCAGTATTCTTTGCTTAAACACATAAAGATTGTTAATGTTATGCTCCTAATATGTAGGTGTTGATTGACTCTGAAATATATCTGTTCCCGGGCATCTTTCATAAATACTTGACTCAGGCTTCAGTTTCCAAAGTTCCTAACATCCCAAAAGGGAGGGCCCGCCGTGAGACTGGGTTAGACCCGGGGCTAGCTGCGAAGCTACCCCGGCACCGGAATGGGACAGTCTAGAAAGCATAAAAGCACAGTCTTAATGCAAGCTGCTGTGACATAAGAGACAGGACCCTCTTGGGGAAGGACAAGCTGAACTGGCCTGAGGACCTAGTCTGGGATTTACGGTAAAAGCTTTGCTTGCCCTCAGAGTCCAGAGAATTAAGTTTTGAAATCTATATCTCTTACTGTGTTTATCCAAATAACTGCAGGTATTAATAAGAAATAAACTTAATTGTTTAATATGTACAACATATTAAAAGAGAAAAGAATATAAAAAAAGGAGAAAAGCAATATAGATGTCCCTGGGAGATAGTCTCCTTGACTTAACACCCCCAAGAGAATTGCCTCTGGCAAAACACTTTACGTCTGTAAATGATCAATGACACCTACATGTAGTCCTATACCTTGAACCCCCTCAGATGTATGATCAGTATGCTAGCAGCTCTTCATTAAATGAGGCATTTTAACCATCAGTCTGTGGTCCCTGCCTCTGTTCCTCTGCTGGAGAATCCTGAGAATCCTGGGTAGGTGGCTTTCGGCCACTGAACACACACATCGCCCACCTACACTTTGTTTTTTTTTTTTTAATTTTTTCTTTTTTTATTAGTGAAACACCATGAGGTACAGTTGTAGATTTACAATTTTTTGTGCTTGGGTTTGATTATACAATGATCAGATACCCATCCCTCCACCAGTGCCCATTTTCCACCACCATGGATAATATCCCCCCCTGCCTCTGTGGCAGGGCAATCCCCTGTGTTCTCTCTCTCCTTTTGGGTGTTGTGGTCTGCAAAAGAGGCATTGAATGGCAAACATGTTCAGTCCATAGTCTACTTTCGACATGCATCCCACCTACACTTTGAACTCACATTGGACCCAGAATTTGAAATGTACATTGATTTAGTTAGGTCTTTTTTTTTTCTTTACTGTGTTAATGCTTGTTTTACAGATTTCTCTGTAATTTCTATGTGCATAGGACTATATCTGTTTTGTTCAGCTTTGAATTTTGCAATACATAAGTAGTTCCTGGAACATAATAGGGATCGTTTCATTGACTGAACAAAGGGAAAGCATAAGTAATAGCTGGAGAGTGACAGAAGATAAGTGGTGGTGGAGAGAGGGGGAAATGGGAAGGGAGGAGGGAGACAAGAAAGGTAGGAAGGAGGAAAGGGGAGAAAGACAAATACACCCAAGGTTTATTCACCTGAGGGTGATTGTGACATCCAGAGGCAATAAAGCATGTCCCTGTGCTTTTTAAATTAGAAAGACCTTTACAATTTGAGATGACATTATTAAAAAGAGAATGAGAAGAGAAAAATGTACAATTTTGGATGTCAAAAATAAATTCAAATTAAGTTGGGCTAAAATTGAGATCAAATACATTTTGCAAAAGCAATATAAGCCGGAGAAGACTACAGAATGTTCACAATTACTTGAGAAGGATTTCCATTTTTTTCTACCTTCCTTATGCTCATTTAGACTTTTGTTCCAAAAGCCAAACTATCTTAATTCTTGAAAATATTGAGTATCTATTCATCCATTTGTTCTCATCTGAAAAGAAGGAAAGTATAGCAGATGAATGAAAAAAGTGTAGAAGGGACAAATATGGTCTGTAGTCAACTGCTAGAAACTGATGAAGAATAAAAAATTTTAGAAAGCAAAATAAGCCTTTTAAGACATTGAATTCAATCATATGCCAATTTTTCATTTCAGATAAACTCAGGACACTCTTGCATTTAAAACATAATTCTTTACTATTTATGTTTCCTTGTTGCTACACTTAAGCATTCATATTAATTAGTGAGTTTATAACTTAGGTAGAGTTGAAATTTTGAAGACTGAAGAGATATATTACCTGAACTTTAACAGAGTAATCTTATGTCTATGTTCTGGTGGAATATTTAATTCACTTCTCTATCCCATCATCAAATATGTTTGAAGCATCTCAAAGACTGCTTTCTTTATCACTGCATAAACAAATGCTTTTCAAATCAGGAATGGTTTTAAATAAAATACCTGTGACATTAATGTGACTTATTTTTCTTTTGTTGCATTATTGAGACCAGAGTTTCCCAAACTTATCTGGTCCTATCTACTTTACAAAAATATCATTCAGTGTCTCCCTGCAAATCTACCTTCTTTACCTAAACAGAAAGTGATCCCCAATTCATGTGAGGCTACTTCTGATACCCTGGATTGTTCCAATGTCCCACTGAGATACATCGGACACATTGGTCTAGAGTCAATTGTAACAAACCCTATTTCATCTCGTTAGGTAGGAATTTCTTTCACATTTTTATTTTTTAAATTGAGTCACCATGAGATACAGAGTTACAAAGCTGACCATAATCAGGTTTCAGTCATATAATGAAGTCATATAATGATCCAACACCCATCCCTCCACCAGTGTCCATTTCCTACCATCAATGATCCCAGTTTCCCTCATGCCACACCCCCCCCACCCCAGCCTGCCTCTATGGCTTCATGGCTTCATGGCAGACACTTTCCTTCTCTCTCTCTCTCTCTCTCTCTCTCTCTCTCTCTCTCTCTCTCTCTCTCTCTCTCTCTCTCTCTCCTCCTCTCCTCTCCTCTCCTCTCCTCTCCTCTCCTCTCCTCTCCTCTCCTCTCCTCTCCTTTCCTCTCCTCTCCTCTCTCTCTCCCTCTCCCTCTC